TAGTAATAGCGATACTATTATTATTACAGACCTTATGCTTATCATCATATGATTTAAATACCAATAACAATTAGATTTTTTCCCAATCAAGGACACTGGAAACAGGGTGAGATGGGAAAAATTAATAACAAATTCCTAATGGGTTAATGTAGCCCTGTAAAAATCACAGTGGACATGGGATGTATGTCATACCTTCACAGCACTAAGGGTTAAGTAGCTATTTTCAAAGTTGTTTTTGCGTGAAACATTAAAGGGAGGCCATAAGAAAACCATTGCTTGGCCACGGAAGGACCTCTAGGTGGCTTTGGTCATGGAACCATTTCGTAACTGCCCTAGAAGTGTGTAAAGGGCAATTATCATGCACGAATATGATTGTTTCTTGGAAGGGACAAGGTATAGCAACGTATTGGTGGGAGATATATTATTTCTTAACAATTCGATATATTGGTCTAAATTGAATCTTCCCTCTCTCTTTCGGCGAGTATAAGGCACTATGACGCATAATTTGAGCTAAATTCACTTATGAACAAATTGAAAAAGGTTAATGATGTTTACACACACTGCTGGGTGAACTGGAGGTGACGATGACAATACTTATATGAGGATTAGCCGCGATATAGATATTCAGGAATTTAACATGAATGTCAGATTTACGACTCTGTGTTTTTTTTTTCCTAGATGGTTATTCTTTCTATAAACTAAGTTTCCGGGTGAACAAGCAAGCGTTTAGATAGCTCTTCACACAACGATAGATTATTATGTCTATTATAACCATATCAAGGAACGCCAAGACTTATGGAATAGTAAACGCGAAAACTGATCAGACACACATACACACACAATGATATTATACATATATATATGTATATATATATATGTATATATGTATATATATATATATATTCACTGTGGCCCTGCTGCAGTTCATTTAATGTTTTATAGTGAAGAGTATAATGTAGCACATTTTCTGTTTATTGAATCAGTGTTTGAAAAATGTCACTTCATTAGTCCGGTTAGCCGCTACTAAACGGTGTAACTACGAGAACATACACAGGTATCAGCGATGTTGTATTTATGTTGATTTTTATTTGATTGAGATGTCAAACATAGATATTTAAAGATTGATGTTTGTAAAAGAAGGGGAAAATGCCGCCTCACTTCCATAGGTGTTGCTATTTGAATAAATAAAAAATGCCAGGAAATCGTATTTTAAACGAGGATATCCAACCGCAAAGTTAACGATAACTAATACTACATCTTTTGATCAAATGGATTACGTTGTTTCCCAAAAACTAATACACTTATAGTTAAACTTATATTCAACCAGTTACATTCTTTGTTACAAACAGCCTAGGGTTTTCGCCTGATTCTTAAAAATACTATTTACTCTATATTTACATCGAAGTGGTTGCCAGATGTACGAAAGTGGGACCTCGCAATTGTTCTGAAATATACATTACCGGATCTGTACACACACACACACACACACACACACACACACACACACACACACACACACACACATATATATAAACAAACACATGCACATTTCGGCAATCACCTATATATATATATACATACATACATGCACATTTGTGTCATCACCTTTATATATATATATATATGAATATATATATTTCCTTTCTGATGCTGATATGTGACAATAATCATAATCAGTTACATGTATGCATAAAAAATCTAGATTCCAATGATCTATTAGTTTAAGTTAATCTGACAGAGAGGCTTATAATCCAGATGACATTCTGCATCGTGCATCATTAAACCATCAGGGCCATACAGGCAGAGGCAATTCCCCGCTGTGCCTTGAGCTAGTTCGCGCACGCTGTGGAAAGCAATGTCAGCAGGTAATACAAAACATTAACTATATGCGTGTGTTCATTCCTATGAATTCATCATCTACAGAATGAAAATAACTTACTAATCATAATCTCCCCAAAAGGACGTTCCTCTCGGAATGTCTTCCCCAGAGACCCACCTCCATTCCCCTTCTACTAAGTGGTCTCTTCCGCCCACCCAGACAGTCGTTGCCTTTACAACGACTGGAATTAAAAACACGGCATATCATTGGTACTATTTCTAAATCTTTGTGTAGATGTCTTATAAGCATTCAGTATAAATCACATATTTTGCAGAATGATTTATATCGGTTACCGCGCTAGTTATCTGTCACAAATGATTATTCTAATTATTGTTGTAACATGATGTACTTATAGTCCATTCTATAGATCTAGCATGATCTTCAAAGTGAATCAGTCATGTTTATTTTCGATGCAGTGAATAAAATTGGAATGCTTTTACTATTGAATGCAAGATGTATATATTCTCATAATATTCATCATAATTATATTTGTTCTTATGCTTATCGTAATTTGACAATAACTATTGTTTTTATAACTATTGTCTCGAAACACGGCTAAATACCCCAAATCTTGACAAAAGACTCGAGCAGTTTCCCAATTTGCGTCGGTCTCTTTGGCAAGTTACAGACAAGTGTCGCCAAATTTTCTGAAATTACCTGCAAAGTAAAGAATTAAATTCAGATTGGTATATTAATCACTCCATACATATCCGCTCGGCATTCCGTAAGCATGAACCAATTTAATTTTTACTTCTAGACGTGAAGGAATCCTTACTGTTAGTCAAGACGCCCACAATCTCCCTTAAGATTCCTGTGGACACTTGCTCGGCTCCTTCGTTCTCTTTCAGCAGGACTTCTTGAAGCAGCAAGAGATTTGTGAGACCGCGGCAACGAAGGGGTGTTGTTAACCACATTAACGTATATACTGTAGTGACTTTTTCATTATGTATTAATACTATAGTTACGTATTTACAGTATTCTTCTCATATTTTGGCCCGCAATTTCCGTAGTACCTTTCATGCCCTCCCTTGCTGTAGATTATTTCTAATGGGGGGTTTCCGCGGCATAATTTCGATATATTTGAGTGAGATGAATCCATCGATGCCAAAATCATCGCGATCGGTTATGCGAAGATATTTTGAAAAATTATCCATAGATATATATATGTAAATATGCATACACATCTTTGTATATGCTACATAAAAAATACACACATGTATGTGTTCAGTTTATGTATATGTACATGCATATGCATTGTGTATACATATGTATATATGTGTGTACTTACATAGAAATATGTATGTACATATACATGTAGTGTGTAGAAATCGGTCTCGCTCCCTTAACAAGAGACTAGAATGTCGCAATACAGCACTTGCGTCGCTAACTAACTGTTCTTCAAATTAAGATACAAAATAACAGTTACCAGCTCGTGAACAGCGAACGTCACTGTTATAAAGAACGAGAGCATGAGGCGATTTCAGTCGACGCGGATCCTCGCAAGTGAACAGAGTGACGTAGTTGAGCTCCTTCCACAAAAGGTATAATTCCTTCTTTCTCGTCGTCCCTCGCTGTCTGATGTGAAATTCATCTCAGTGGTTTAAGGATTCAAAGCTGGTTTCATATCTTCGCATATAATTCTTACTGGGTAATGGTTACTTTCGAGAAATAGATAAAGATATCAGATATCCCTTTCTTATATTTGGGGTTAAATGACATATTTACTCAGTCATATTGGCATTGGCAGATGCGTCTGGTCGTATCAGTCTTTTGGATGGTGGCAGGGACGGCGTGGGCACTGGAGGAAAACAGTGTGGACAACCTCTACGATGAACATTTTCCTCCTCTTCGCCCTAACTGCACTCAGGTAACTTCATTGAATAAGGAAGGGGGTGGGAAACGTTTATAAGGAGCGCATATATTGTAAAGCTGTACGTTGGTATGTATGTATGTTAATGGTTAACAATGTCTCTTTGTTGCTGCAGAGTCTCACAGATGTTCTCTTGCTGCGCCAAGAAGTCCTGCTGAAAGAACTGAAGCAGGCCGAGCAAGTGTCTGCAGGAATCTTGAGGGAGTTAGCGGACATCTTGACTGACAACAAGGTTTCCTCCACGTCCAGAGGTAAAAGTTTAATTAGTTCAGGGTTACGGAACACTTAGTTGGCGGATTTACATAAATTTAACAATTCATTTGGATGAATATTTTTACTCCGTGCAGAAGTATCCTGCCCTGATAACTTCAACAAACAAAAAAATTGGCAACACTTGTTTGCATCTTGCCAAAGAGACTGACGTGGCTTGGGAAGCTGCTCGAGTTTTTTGTCAAGACTTGGGAGGAGACTTGGCCGTGTTTCGAGACGCCAATGCATTTGCAGAGGCTCTAGGATACATTAAAAGTTCAGGCAAGTTTTATTTTTTTATTTTTTACCTCACTTCAAGTCAGTGTATTATTATTATTTTACTTAAACAATGCAGTTTGAGTGTAGAAGCATCAAAACCAACAGTTATTGCCAAATTATGATAAGAATAAGTACAATGATAATTGAGATAAATATTAAGAAAATACGTACATGGTATAGATATTCCTGTTTTCTTCACTATTAATGACAATAAAATTATGACATTCGCAATTGAAGATCACGGCGTAACATAACAGATTTATAGAATGGACTGTGAGTACAGCATGCTACAATAATAATTAGAATAATCATTTGTAACAGATAACTAGCGCGGTACCCGATATAAATCATTCTACAAAATATGCGACTTATACTGAATGCTTATAAGACATCTACACAAAGATTGAGAAATAGTACCAATGATATGCCGTGTTTTTAATTCCAGTCGTTGTAAAGGCAACGACTGTCTGGGTGGGCGGAAGAGACCACTTAGTAGAAGGGGAATGGAGGTGGGTCTCTGGGGAAGACATGCCGAGAGGAACGCCCTTTTGGGGACATACCAGAAAGTAAGTTATTTTCATTCTGTAGATGATGAATTCATAGGAATGAACACACGCATATAGTTAATGTTTTGTATTACCTGCTGACATTGCTTTCCACAGCGTGCGCGAACCAGCTCAAGGCACAGCGGGGAATTGCCTCTGCTTGTATGGCCCTGATGGTTTAATGATGCACGATGCAGAATGTCATCTGGATTATAAGCCTCTCTGTCAGATTAACTTAATAAAGTAATAGATCATTGAAATCCAGATTTTTTTTATGCATACATGTAAGTAATTATGATTATTGTCACATATCAGCATCAGAAAGGAAACATAAATTCGCAACGAAAAATGTAAGCCATTTTTGTTGTTTGACTGCATCTAAATGGATACATCGTCAGGTGCAGAGATACATTTTAACAAATATTTGTGTATCTTTATTTTCAAAGTTCCATTAGTTTCACGCATCTCATACATGGCTAAGCCATCTTTTATTGCAGATAATCATAGTTATTTAGGCTGAGAATGACGATGCTTACTTTATGAATAAATAAATGAATAAAAAATGAATAAAACAGAAATATTGATATTCGATTTATTTTCCTTATAATTTCTGACAACACTTGCGGGTGCTATGTTTGTGTGTGCATACATATATATGTGTATATAAGTATAAAAATACATGTGTTTATATACATATATATGTATATAAGTATACACACATGCACATTTTAACCGCATTCTGGCCAGGAAAATTCTGTCATGAACCTTGGAATATATCAATATAATATTTATCTCTATATCTATCTATCTGATACTATGTTGGCTGTGGATATATGTACATATAATATGATATATATATATGCGTGTGTGTGTGTGTATTCATGCATATATATATTATACCCACTTTTCTAGCAATAATTAGAGATTGTGTTCTCTGAATCTGACGTTATTTTTATGGCCCGTATTTGTCACACTGCTCTCGTAGATTTAACTCAGGAAAATTTAGACATGTTTAATTGAACAATGTTATATAACCAACATGCAATGTTAATCATATAAACTGATATGCTGATAATATAACATTTGAGTTCTCTCTGATCCAATACAAGAACTACACCACTAATTTCCATGAATCACTCTTCAACAAAGCACTTGCAGTTATACATATGAAACCGGCATATAAAATGGAATATATATATATCTAAGGAAGTTGTTACTATAATATTGGGACACGCAATTTTAGTATTTGAAATTCTGAGTAAAATCTATAAATTTTTGTTAGAAGCAAATACCGAATTAAAAATATATATAGTTATCACTGTTAGCGAATAAATAGTTATTCATTGAGAAAATGTGAAAACATAGACAAGATAAGCTGCTTCGATCAAGCAATTAAAGCAATAAATTAATAGTCTTAAGCAATTACTAAGTCAAAGCTTAAAATCATCACTATGTACATATCAAAATAATAGTAATTAGGATATCTTAAAAGTAAGGTACTTAATCATGTAATTATGATACTAAGTTAATATCCTTTAAGCCAATACTAAAACAAAGATTAAAATGATCTCCATTAGTGATTAAATAAATATATATCAGAATGATAGTAAAGAGAATATCTTATTAAGTTAATATCCATACGTAATTACTAAATCAAGGCAAAACACTAATTCAGGAGAATACTAAATTGATGCACATTTAGGGCTTAAACCATATTATGCAAACACTATTATTTTTTCGCTCCGTCGAAAATTACTACTTCATCAATGTCTAATACTTCCCTATAGATGAGGTTTCTTAAAAGTAAGTAATCAATTCCCTGTTTCCAAAGCAAACTTAACAATTTTTTAAACATGATCAACTCCATTCCATTATGTAGTCAATGGAAAATAATATCTATTGCTACTTAACCTAAAAATGACCCAGTATCCATAGGAAGTCCCTGTCCACAACGGTCCGTTAAGATAGCCTTACCGAGAGGTGCCACCAGACGTGCAAGGCTACTGGACACTACTCTGACATTTAGTCTGGTAATCTGTCAGTGAGCGTCTTTTTATTCCCGATATGGGGTGGGGGTGGGGGGATCCAGTCACACCCTTAATGGTTATCATGTAATTATGTCTTATAGTTGGACAGATATCCGCAGTAGGACTTTTCTGCAACAAAGAATTTGAACGCAATTAATTTGAATCACTATTCAACTTTCTCTATTTAGCACCTGTATCTATAGTTTGTTTAAAAAATGTTGCGATCGACCGTAATTGCCTGTCCTTTTCGCACACGTAATTTTTGTTTGTGCTGGTCATAATACGTACAATAGTTCTTCACCGTCTGCAACAACGGCTTTGCCTTTCCTCTGCAGTTAACAATAGCTTAACACAACTCCTATATACCAAAAACAGGAAATAAAACCTCCCTTCATATCTTAAGCGCATTCGTTGGAGGATTCATCATAAACGAAACAAGATAACGGTCCTAATAATATGGGAATAGCTCGGATTGTTCCAAGTTCTGGCGCAGTCTGCGTTCGGTCCTGCTCTCGATCGAAGTCCGATGAAGAGAGATTACCGCAACGTCGTTTTCAAGACACGAGTTGGGACAATTCCAGCTGGAAAGGACGATTGCCAGTAATTCACATGCTCGCCACCGAAGGACGAGACAGCGAAACGCCGAACGAGAACAATTAGAGCGAAACGAAAGTGTTGACAATTCCTAAATCTCAACACGATAAAATCCTTGTATACTTTTTTATAAGCATAATATTCCTACTATCGCGAAACAGAGATGTAAATCAATTAAGGAAATCACAATAAATGAATGTGTTTTCCCTGGCGAATTTGTGTGATTCAAACTGTGACGACTCGAAAAGGTCGTTATATACATACATATATAAGTATTCATATATATGTGTGTGTATTTAGGCACAGACTCACATATATAAATACACACACACACACACACACGTATGCACATGCATATATATATTTCTTTATGTATGTGTGTGTGGGTGGGAGGGGTGAATATGTGTACATAAATGTATACATACAACTATATACATACTATATACAGACATATGTGTTCAATATATATGTAAATATTTATAGATATATACAATACTTATTTATATATGTGTATATATTATGCATACATATGCACGTATTTGTGTATTTACATATAAACTTATACATATACATATATTAGTATGTATATATTGGTCTTGCACTCTTGACAACAAGAGACTGAGGTATTGCATTAAAGCACTTATCTCGTTGATTAACTGTCAACTTCAAATAAAAAAGAGCAGTCACCAGTAAATATCGTACATCACCGTAAATAACACCGGACATCAAAGCGATTTCAGTCGACGCGGATCCTCGCAAGTACGCTGAGTGACGAGATCTTCCTTCCTCTAAAGGTATGATTTGCGGGCTTCTCGTCGTCCCAGTGGTGTATCTCAGTGACTTAAGCATTGAAAGTTGGTTGCACATCGGTACATATAATTCTTGCTAGCTACTTATTTCGAGAAATAAAGACATCAGATGTCCTCTTCATACATCTGGGGCTCAATGATATATTTACTCATAGTCACATTGGCGTCAGCAGATGCGTCTGGTTGTATCAGTCTTTTGGATGGTGGTAGGGGCGGCGTGAGCACTGGAGGAAAAACGGTGTGGGTAACCTTTACGATGAACAGTTATTTACTTATCATCCTAATTGCACCCAGGTAACTTCACTGAACAAGGAAAGAGGGGGGGGGGGCAGTTTGCATATTTATGATAAATATGTACATTATGCATGTATGTATGTTAATGAGGATAATAGCATTTCTTCGTTACAGCAGTCTCACAGATCTTCTCTTGCTGCACCAAGAAGTCTTCGGGAATCTTGACTGACAACAAAGCTTCCTTTCAGTGGGTGAATATTTTTACCCCGTTCAGGAGTATCCTGCCCTGGTAACTTAAAAGAAAATTGGCAACACTAGTTTGTATCTTGCTAAAGAGACCGACGTGGCTTGGGAAGCTGCTCGAGTTTTTTTTGTCAAGACTTGGACTGAGATTTGGCCGTGTTTCGAGAGGCCAGTGCAATCACAGAGGTTTTCAAATACGTCAAAAGTTCGGGTAAGCTTTTCTTTTTACCTATATGCTTTTATATACTTTTGTATACAATATCAATGCAGAAATACCCCAGATAACGGCTCTCATTGCCACTATAAGAATAAGATCGGGTATAATGATAATCGGATATAACGATATTAAACTCATGTCTGATTCACTATAGTCTGAAGATCACAGCGTAACGTAACAACTATAGAATGGATTGTGAGTAATCAGTTGTAACATTTACCAGCGCGCTACCCGTATAAAACATTCTGCAAAATATGTGAAATATGCCGTTTCAAAAAGAAGAATTGTGAATGCTTATAAGAAAGATTCACATAGATCCAGAAATCGTAAAAATGATATGCTGTTTTCGCTTCCAGTCGCTGTAATCAGACCACATTGCAGAAGGGGAATGGAGGTGGGTCTCTGGGGAAGACATGCCGAGAGGAACGCCCTTTTGGGGAGATTATATTTAGTAAGTTATTTTCAATCTGTACATGATGCCTTCATGGGAAAGTACATATGTATGTGTAATGAATACACACATGTGTTTTTATTTATTTACTGTGTACCTCTTTATTTTCGAAAGTTGAATAAGTTTTCATGCACCTTATCCATGCCTAAGCTAGGGAATCTTCATAAAAAAAGTATGCGGATAATCATAAATAGTTGAAGTCAATAATGTCTATATGTACTCTTCTGTGAATAAAATACGCCAAATATCGCTGATAAGAAATTTATTTCCCCACTTGATATGTGTGTTGGGCTATGTGTGTGCGTATGCATGTATATGCATATGTACATGCAAATACATATGTATACATATACACCCACTATGTATATGAATATATATATATATATGCATATACATGTCCATATAAAGGCAGTACATATCTACATACATGTACATAAATCTATATGTATATATGTATTTATATATATGTGTGTGTATAAACATATATGATATATATACTTATACACATACACACACAACCACACATAGATATATATGCATATGTATGTATGTACACACACTATATATATATAAATATATATATATGCACATATATGCATATATATATATATATATATATATATATATATATATATATATATGTGTATATTTATATACATAGTAAAAATACGCATACAGATATATATGGATATATTTGTGTATGTCTATCAATACACAAACACAAACAAACCCATATTTGTGTATATATAAATGAATGTACACATTTGTATACATAGTATATACATACGTAGGTATGTGTATGAATATATGTATTTATACATATATATGCAGATATATCCATATATATATATATACACACATGTTTATATGTACATATACAGTATATATAGAATTTTATATAAATGTATATATATAATACATTCATACAAATGTATGTATATATATGTATTTACATTTCTATACATGAATATACCAATACCATACTTTTACATTATACATGTTCTTGGCGAGAAAGGTATCGTAATACAGCGCTTATATCACAAATCAACTGCCGCCTTAAGATTTAAAAAGAAGAGGTACCAGTGAGTGACAAAGTCGAGCTCTTTGTTCCTCGAGAAGTATAAGTCAGATATGCGAAGCTGAGCCACGTCCGGGATATGCTTATGAAGGAAGCCCAGCTGTTCTGGCTAATTCTGACTGGTGTAGCTTAGAGCAACTCAAGAGACGATGTTGGGTAGGTCAGTTAAAATATTTTCTGCAGTGACACCCAGTATTGCTTCATCCAGGTACCATAGACTTTGAGTCCGCTACTTGGTAACGTGGAGGCCCTGTCGACCCCAAGAGAAAAAGGGGCTAGGCCTATAGGGTCCCCTAGATGCAACCCTGTGGTAGATTGCAACACGGTCTCTCCAAAAAAAGAGAGGCTATTGAATAGGACTGTCATACGAACCGAAAAAGGTGTAGGTCTTGCTCTTTTGCTGCGATTAGGAAAACGTCTTTACGAATGTAGTTAAAAAATTTTTCATGTGGTTTTGATAAGAGCACGTTTTCCCTATCAGCTGTTTACATATAGCGGGTGTTTCACTTTCAATGCACTGATGGCATCCTCACCACGGCAAGCGAGGAGTCTTACCGCATCTCTTATATCGTTGTCGGCAAGTTCAGACTGAAGGTGAGTGTGGCCAGTGTTGGTTACGGGCTGTAAAGGAAAGAGAAATATGGCTGCATCCATTCCTTTGCACTGAGAGTATGGTCCACAGAGTCAAGGAAGGCAGGCCTGTCTCGGTAAATTGACCTCTTTGTACTTACTGATTAATCATATGAATACCAGTGACATATTAGAAGCGGGAGAAAATTACAAAAGTATATTTATTGTAACAAACAGTAAACAACGCAACACAGCTCGTATATAACTAAAACAGGGACTAAAAGCTCCCTTCAAAAAAGAAGCATACTCATTAACCAAACAAAAAAATGGTCCTGGACATCAGGAGATGGTCCTATCAAAATATGGGGAATGAACTTAGCTCAAAATGAACACGAATGGCCGAAGCAACCGTCATGATGTCTCCTCACACCGATCTCGGATTGTAGGGCGCAGTCAGTTTTCGGTCCTGCTCTCCATCGAAATCCGATGAAGAGAGATTACTACAATGTCGAGATTAGGAACAATTTCAACCGGAAAGGACGGGCGCCAGCAATTCACATGCTCTCCCTCGAAATCACAGGAAGAGAGAGGGAAACGCCGTATGAATTCAGTATATAGATATATGTATATATAAATATAAATTATGTATACATATGTGTATATAAGTATTCACATAAACAAACCTTATGTGTACATACAGTACGTCCACTTACATATACTTAATAGTGTGTAGACTATTAGTCTCACTCTCTTGCCAACAAGAGACTGGGGTATCGCATTACAGCACTTATACCGCATATTAACGTAAAAAAAAAAGTTACTTGCTCGTAAAATGCAAATACCACTGTTATAAAGAACGAGAGCATCGAGGCGACTTCAGTCGACGCAGATCCTCGCAAGTGAACTGAGTGCCGCAGTTGAGCTCCTTCCACAAAAGGTATAATTCCTTCGCTCTCGTCGTCCCTCGCGTATAAACTGTCTGTGGAATTCTCAGTGGTTTAGGGATTCAAAATTGGTTTCATATCTTAGCATATAATTCTTAGTAGGTAATTGTAGTCTGGAAAAGTAGATAGATATCAGATGTCCCCTCTATATATTTGGGGTTAAATAACACATTTACTCAGTTATATTGGCATTGGCAGATGCGTGTGGTTGTATCAATCTTTTGGATGGTGGCAGGGACGGCGTGGGCACTGGGGGAAAACAACTACGATGAACATTTTCCTCCTCTTCAGCCATAACTGCACTCAGGTAACTTCACTGAATAAGGAAGGGGGGAAAGTTTGCAAGGAGCGTATATACCTTAAATCTGTACGTTGGTATGTATGTTGATGTGGTTAAAAGTAGCCCTTCATTGCCGCAGGGTCTCACAGATCTTCTCTTGCTGCGCCAAGAAGTCCTGCTGAAAGAACTGAAGCAGGCCGAGCAAGTGTCTGTAGGAATCTTGAGGGAGATAGCGGACATCTTGACTGACAAAAAAAAATTCCTTCACGTCTGGAGGTAAAAGTTAAATTGGTTTACGAAATACCGAGTGGATTACTGCGAACTCATTAATATATCTAGGTAAATTAATATCTTTACTCCGAGCAGAAGTATCCTGTCCTGGTAACTTCAGAAAATGCGGCGACACTTGTTTGTATCTTGCCTTAGACACCGGAGTGAGTTGGGAAGCCGCTCGAGTTTTTTGTCAAGGCCTGGGAGGAGATTTGGCCGTGTTTCGAGACGCCAATGAATTCGCAGAGGCTCTCAAATACGTCAAAAGTTCGGGTAAGTTTCTTTTACCTTGCTTCAAGTCAGTGTATTTTTTTTATATACTTTTGTAGTACAATTTGCATAGATACCCAAAACAATTGCTCTCGTTGCCACTATGAAAATAAGGTTGGGTAGAATGATAATTGTAATGAATATTATGAGAATACTTACGTCCTACATATGATGTTATAAACATTCCAGTTTGATTTCCTATAGCGATATTAAACTCATGACTGATTCACTGTAGTCTGATGATTACAGTGTAACACAACTATAGAATGGACTGTAAACAGCTTGTTAGAACCACAGTTGCAATAATAGCAATCAGTTGTAACAGACAGTCAGTGCGCTACCCCTGTAAATCATTTTGCAAAATATGTGAAATAAGCCGTTTTAAAAAATTATGAACGATTATCAGACAGCTACGCAAAGATCCAAATATAGTACCAATGATATGCCGTGTTTTCACTTGCAGTCGCTGTAAAGGGAACGCCTGTGTGGGTGGGCGGAACAGACCGCATAGAAGAGGGGGAATGGAGGTGGGTCTCTGGGGAAGACATGCCGAGAGGAACGCCCTTTTGGGGAGATTATAACTAGTAAGTCATTTTTATTTCATAGATAAGGTATCCTTGAGAATGATCACTATGAATATACATATATATATTTATATGGATGTGCGCGTGTATGTTTATATATATTTATATATATACATATATCAGTACACTTATACATAATTATACATATATTGCTTTCCACAGCGTACGCGAACCAGCTGAAGGCACATCGGGGAACTGCGCCGCCCTGTATGGCCCTGATGGTTTCTTGATACATGATGGTGTTTGTCAAAATCCATACAAGCCCCTCTGTGAGATTAAGTTGATAAATAATTAAATCAATACAATCTACATTTGTTAAACATTAGTTTACATTGTTATTTGTACTCATTAGTTTCAAAATGAAAAATGTAAATTCCTGTTGAGAAATGTATCCTGTCAAACACTGTTGCTAGACTCCTTCGTAACCGGAGAGATTGCCATAAAAAATATATATTTGCATAAAGATGTGTATATATGTATCTCTTTATTTTCAAAAAAAAAAAAAAAAAATACACCTCATCCATGGGTTAACTAATGAATCTTCAAAAAAAAGCTTGCGGATCATCATAAATAGCTGAAGTCAGATATATTTATGCTTACTCTTTTGCGAATAAACATGGCAAATATCACTGATAGCTGATTCTTTTTCCCATTTGATATGCCTTTGTTGGTTTGTTTGTGTATGCATGTATGTGAAGCATCTTTTGTTTGAAATGGTGTGCTTCGTCAATGAATTAATTACATTATCCAATTATGTTCTCTCTTTCATTAAGAAAGATGTCATAATCCTTACCATATATATTACAAATATTGTAAAAACAAAACAACAACAACAAAAAAGCGGGCATGTCAAACGACCCAGTTGTCACAGGAAGTAGAGTGTCGTGGCGCCTGGCGTCAGCAAATCCATATATATATATAATGACTGGAAATAAAATGAACTAAACTAACTAGATAAATAAATAAATAAGTAAACAAATAAACATGTAGATATACATTCTTAATCTGTATAAAATAATCGTATTTTTTAATCGGGTTGATGTCTTCATTCCTTATGAACCCGATATCACAACAACACTATGCAAATTAATCTGTACATGGTAAATATATATAATCCCTTTATAATGTATATGCATATGTACGAATGTAAATACATATTTATATATGTTTACATATATACGTATGTATTTATAAATTCCATACACACAAACACATATTCATATATATAAATATATATATATCCATGCATATACATATACATATAAGTACAGTACATAGCTACACATATGGTATATAAATCTATCTATCTATATATATATATGAATATGTATAATCATAATATATACACATATACCTACACCACAGACACACATATATATACATACATAGACAGCATATATATGTGTGTGCATAGATATACACATATGTATACATACACACATATATAAATGTATTTATGCGCACACATACATATATATTTGTATACATAAAAAAATACTAACATACATATATATATATATATATATATATATACATACATATATGTGTGTATACATATACTTGTGTGTATATGGATATGTATATATATATAACGTGCATACAAATATATGTATGTATATGTATATTTGCATTTATATTCATGGATATACAAGTGCTGACAAAATCAAGCTCTTTGTTCCTCGAGAAGTATGGTTTGCAATTTTAAGGATAAGTCAGATATCGGAAGCTGAGTCTCACCCGGGCTAAACCTATGAAGGGAGCTCGGCCTGTGCCGACTAATGCTGACTGATCAACGGGTGTCAGCTGGTGCTGACTCGATATTCCTGATATTCCCTTTTTAAAAGACATTTGGCACATCTCACGAGACCATTAAAGATCCATTGTTATGGCTAATTCTGTTGCAACTCAAGAGACGATGTTGGGTAGGTCAGTTAAAATATTCTGTACAGTGCCCCCCAATATTGCATCATCCAGGTACCATAGACTTGAGTCCACTACTTGCAACAAAGTCTTTCTAAAAAGAGGTGAGAGGCCTTTGAATAGGACTGTCATACGAATCGAAAAAGGCATGAGATTTGCTCTTTTGCTGCTCTTAGGAAAACGTCTCTACCAATGCAGTTAAAAGCATTTTTCATATCAATTTAGTCAAGAGCACAGTTTTTCTAACAGCTGTTTACATATGGCTGGTGTTTCAGTTTTAATGCACTGATGACATCCTCGTCTCGGCAAGCGAGGAGTTTTACCGCATCTTTTATATCGTTGTTAAGTTTAGTGGCATCCCACCTTAGGATTTTGTCTGTGTGTTAGACTGTGAGTGTGGCCACTGTAGGTTTCGGGCTGTAGAGGCAAGAGAAATGTGTTAAAAAGTTATGCGTTACCTGTTGAACTTTTGTGGCAAGTGTAGGACGTAAGATCTTTTGTCGGTTGTATGAGGGAGCCGTAAACAAAACCAAAGACGCAGGTATATGCTTATTCCGTGTTATTATTATTATTATTATATACATTTTTTAATGACATAAAGGGCTTACACAGCTGCTACTGCCTTTGAGATGTAAGCTATCACACGAACACGATGTTTGCGTCCGCAAAATATTGTGGGCGGTGCATTACTTTGCACACTGTGAGTATGCTCCAGATAGTCAATGCGGGCAGGTGTATCTGATACAATGACTTTCTCTTTGTACTTACTAACTAATGTAAATACCAGTGACATGATATTGGAAGTGAGAGAAAGCCATAAAAATACAAAAGTATACATTTATTATAACAAAAGAAAAGCATGCTCTATTTCCTCACAAACAGTCAACAATAACACAGCTCAACTCGTATAGAACAAAAAAAGGAAACAAAAGCTCCCTTCAGAAAGGAAGCATACTCATTGGAAGATTCATCTTTAAGCAAAGAAAATAGTCCCCTCAAAATATGGGGAGTGAACTTAGCTCAAAACACGAATGCCCGAAGCAACCATCATGGCGTCCCTCTGGTGACTTCACCGGCTCCCCTCACACCGATCTCGGATTGTACCGGTTTATGGCGCAGTCTGCTTTCGGGCCTGCCCTCCATCGAAATTCAATGAAGAGATTATTACAATGTCGTTTTCATGACACGAGATTTGGGACAATTTCATCTGGAAAGGACGACCGCCAGCAATTCACATGCTCTCCATCGGAATCAGAGGAAGAGAGCGAAAGGCTTTATATATGTATATAAACATATACATATATAAATGCATATATACATATATCCACGCACGCACACACACGTGTATACACACACACATACGTATATATACACACACTTCTATACATTTATACATACGTACATGTTTATGTGTGTTTGTGCGTGTTTTTGTGTTGCTCATATAAATAGGCAATTTTTCACCATGCTTTCGCATAACCGATCGCGACGATTTTGGTATCGATGGATTCCTCTCTGTACTATCCAAATATATCGAAATTCTGCCGCGGAAACCCTCCAAAGTCCCACATTCTTGGTTCAGATAGCAGGGAGGGCATGCGAGGTAGCTGGGAAATTGCGGGGTACCCTAATAATGATATAATAACATAATGACAATACCTCACAACACATATACACATATACACACACTAATACCAAATATATCGAAATTCTGCCGCGGAAATCCTCCAAAGCCCCACATTCTTGGTCCAGATAGGTGGGGAGGGCATGCAAGGTAGCTGGGTTCACTAATAATGATATAGTAACATAATGATGATACCTCACAACACTGTTCATTACAGGTGGCTACGTCCCTTTCGCGTATTCACAGCAGGATAGAGCGCACGACCTACTGTATCCTATTCATATTTTAAGCCACAATTTCCCTAGTACCTTTGATGCCCTTCCCTGCTATCGAGGCCAGGATTGTCACTAATAAAGAGTTTCTGCGGCATAAGTTTGATACATTTGGATAATTGTGAGATAAATCAATCGATAGCTAAAACGTCGCGGTCGATTATTCAAATGTATTCTGAAATATCCACATTTCTTTATGCAGCATGTACAAAGATGTGTGTATGCATACATTTGTACATGCTGCATAAAGAAATACATATATGTATGTATTCAGTATATATGTGCATATGTATATATATATACATATGCATTATGTATACATAGGTATATATGCATGTATGTATTTACACAGAAACTTGTGTGCACATACAGTATGTATGTACGCATACATATACGTGGTAGTGTGTAGAATATCGGGCTCGCTCTCTAGCCAACAAGAGACTGGGGTATCGCATTACAGCATTTATGTCGTTGCTTATCTGTCTTATTCAAATTAGATAAAAAAAAACAAAACAAAAAAAAAAAAAAAACAGTTACCAGCTCGTAAACAGCGAACCCCACTGTTTTAAACAAGGAGAGCATCGAGGCGACTTCAGTCGACGCGGATCCTCGCAAGTGAACAGAGTGACTTAGTTGAGCTCCTTCCACAAAAGGTATAATTCCTTCTTTCTCGTCGTCCCTCGCTGTCTGATGTGAAATTCATCTGTGATTTAAGGATTCAAAATTGGTTTCATATCGCATATAATTCTTACTGGGTAATTGTTATTCCCGAGTAGATAAAGATATCAGATGTCCTCTTCAGGGTTTAATGACATATTAACTCATAGTCACATTGGCGTCGGCAGATGCGTCTGGTCGTATCAGTCTTTTGGATGGTGGTAAGGACGGCGTGGGCACTGGAGGAAAACAGTGTGGACCACCTCTACGATGAACATTTTCCTCCTCTTCACCCCAACTGCACTCAGGTAACTTCACTGAATAGGGAAGGGGGGGAAAGTTTGCAAGGAGCACATTTACTGTAAATCTGTACGTTGGTATGCATGTATGTTAATGTGGTTAACAGTATCCCTTCATTGCCGTAGAGTCTCACAGATCTTCTCTTGCTGCGCCAAGAAGTCCTGCTGAAAGAACTGAAGGAGGCCGAGCAAGTGTCTATAGGAATCTTGAGGGAGATGCTACACATCTTGACCGTCAAGACTTCCTTCATGTCTACAGGTAAAAGTTATATTGGTTTTAAAGCTACGAAATACCGAACGTATTAGTATGAAGTGATGAATATACCTAAGTGAGTTCAAATGTTTACTTCGCGCAGAAGTATCCTGTCCTGGTAACTTCAGAAAATGCGGCGATACTTGTTTGTATCTTGCCAAGGACACCGACGTAACTTGGGATGCTGCTCGGTTTTTTTGTCAAGACTTGGGAGGAGATTTGGCCGTGTTCCGAGACGTCAATACATTCGCAGAGGCTCTCAAATACGTCAAAAGTTCGGGTAAGTTTTCTTTTCTTTTCTTTAACCAGGCTTCAAGTCAATGTATTCTTTTATGTAGTTTTGTAGCATGATTGGAATGCAGAAGTACCCAACTCAATAGCTCTCATTGCCACTATAAAAATATGATTGGGTATTATGATAACTGTGGTGAATATTATGAGAATCCTTACATTCTGCACATAATGGTATAAATATCCTAATTTTATTCCATAGAACGATAATAAATTCATGTCTGATTCACTCAAGTTTTTTAGATCAGAGTGTAACATAGCTATAGAATGGATTGTAAGTAATCAGCTGTAACAGATAACCAGCGCGCCATCCGTGTAAATCACTCAGCAAAATATGTGAAATATGCCGTTTCAACTAAGAATTATGAATGCTTATAAGACAGCTAACAAAGAGTCAGAAATCGTAAAATTTATATGCTGTTTTCGCTCCCAGGCGCTGTAAAGGCAACGACTGTCTGGGTGGGCGGAACAGACCACATAGTAGAAGGGGAATGGAGGTGGGTCTCTGGGGAAGACATGCCGAGAGGAACGCCCTTTGGGGAAGTTATAATAAGTAAGTTATTTTCAATCTGTACATGATGCCTTCATGGGAATGCATATGCGTATGTGTAATGAATACACGCACATGTACATTTATTGATTCATTGTATTGTAATACTCGCTAACATTGCTTTCCACAGCGTGCGCGAACCAGCTCAAGGCACAGCGGGGAATTGCGCCTGCCTGTATGGACCTGATGATTTCTTGATACACGATGCAAACTGTGGCTCAAAATATAAGCCTCTCTGTCAGATTAAGTTACTGAGTAATTAAATCATTGGAGTCTGGATTTGTTAGACATTAGTATACATTGTTATAATTATTTTTACACATTAGCTTCAATTAAGATAAAAAATTCACGATGAGAACTGTATCCTGTCAAGCATAGTTGCTTCACTGCCATCGTGCACCTCTTTATTTTCGAAAGTTGAATAAGTTTCATGGATCTCATCCATGCCTTAGGATTTTCATTAAAAAGTATGCAGATAATCATAAATAGCTGAAGTCAATAATGATTATGCGTACTCTTTTGTGAATAAAATATGCCAGATATCGCTGATAACTGAATTATTTCCCCAATTGATATATGTGTTGGTCTGTAAGTGTGTGTTAGTATGTATATGCATATCTACATGCATAAGTACATATTAATATATGTATACATATGTGTAAATATATGTATACTTCCATACACACGTATATATACATATATATGCATAAACATTATCCATATAAATGCAGTATATATCTACATATATGTATATAAGTCCATATATAAATATGTATTTATATACATATATATGTGTATAAACATATATGATACATATACTTACACCACATACACAAACACACCATATATATATATATATATATATATATATATATATGTATGCATATATGTATATATATGCATATACACATACACAATATATATATATATATGCACACACGCACATGCATGCGTATGCATATATTTATATACACATCTGTATACGTAATATATACATACGTTGGTATGTATGTATTCACAGATATATATATGCATCTATATATTCATATATATATATATACACGCATATATGTATATATTTACAGTATATATATAAATTATATATAAATGTATATATATATATATAATATATACATACGGATATATGTATGTATATATATGTTTACACTTATATACATGAATATACAAATACTGTATATTTACATTATACATGTTCTTGGCGAGAAAGGTATCGTAATACAGCGCTTATATCACAAATCAACTGTCGCCTTAAGATTTAAAAAGAAGAGGTACCAGTGAGGTGAGTGACAAAGTCGAGCTCTGTGCTCCTCGAGAAGTATGATTTGCAATTTTAAGCATCAGACAGATATGCGAAGCTGAGCCTCGCCCGGCATATGCTTATTAAGGATACCCAGCCTGTGCTGACTAATGCCGACTCGATCAGCTGGTGTTGACTCGATTGAGCTTAGTCCTTACCCTCTGTGGTACCCAGCCACAGCAGTAACCTCCAGACGACTGTTGAAACTTCTCGCGCCTGGGCGGGACGCGAACCGCCGACTCCTCGTAGGAGAGGCCGATTCGTTACCACTGTGCTAGCCCGGATGCTGTGCAATTTTGGAATGGCAAACAACTTTTGAGAAGAACCAGGGCTGAATTACTATCAACTGTTTCATATCCTGAAGCTCTTGATGCTTCTTTTGCAGTAGTGGTATTGTCGCTGCCACACTTACGGGAGACCAAATCAACTGATGTTCTCCCTCTTTAAAAGACATATTTGGCAGTAGCATATGAGACCATTAAGGGTCCGTGTTATGGCTAATTCTGACTGTGTAGCTTAGAGCAACTCAAGAGACGATGTTGGGTAGGTCAGTTAAAATATTATCTGCAGTGACACCCAGTATTGCTTCATCCAGATACCACAGACTCGAGTCCACTACTTGGTAACGTGGAGGCCCTGTCGACCCCGAGAGAAAAAGGGGCTAGTTGCAACCCTGTGGTAGATTGCAACACGGTCTCTCCAAAAAAGAGTCTATTGAATAGGACTGTCATACGAATCGAAAAAGGTGTGGCACTTGCTCTTTTGCTGCGATTAGGAAAACGTCTTTACGAATGTAGTTAAAAGCATTTTTCATGTGGTTTTGATAAGAGCACGTTTTTCCTATCAGCTGTTTACATATAGCGGATGTTTCACTTTCAATGCACAGCTCGTATATACCTAAAACAGGAAACAAAAGCTCCATCAAAAAAGAAACATACTCATTAACCAAACAAGAAAATGGTCCTGGACATCATAGGAAATGGTCCTATCAAAATATGGAGAGTGAACTTAGCTCGAACTGAACACGAATGGCCGAAGCAACCGTCATGATGTCTCATACTGATCTCGGATTGTAGGGCGCAGTCAGTTTTCGGTCCTTGCTCTCCATCGAAATCCGATGAAGAGAGATTACTACAATGTCGAGATTAGGAACAATTTCAACCGGAAAGGACGGGCGCCAGAAATTCACATGCTCTCCCTCGAAATCACAGGAAGAGAGAGGGAAACGCCGTATGAATTCAGTATATAAATATATGTATATATACATATATATTATGTATACATGTGTGTATGTAAGTATTTACATTAAAAAAAAAAATATGTGTATATACAGTATGTCCACTTACATAGTAGTAGTGTGTAGACTATCACTCTCACTCTCTTGCCAACAAGAGACTGGGGTATCGCATTACAGCACTTATACCGCATATTAACGTAAAAAAAAGTTACTTGCTCGTAAAATGCAAACACCACTATTATAAAGAACGAGAGCATGGAGGCGATTTCAGTCGACGCAGATCCTCGCAAGTGAACTGAGTGCCGCAGTTGAGCTCCTTCCACAAAAGGTATAATTCCTTCGCTCTCGTCGTCCCTCGCGTATAAACTGTCTGTGAAATTCATCTCAGTGGTTTAGGGATTCAAAATTGGTTTCATATCTTAGCATATAATTCTTAGTAGGTAATTGTTATTCTGGAAAAGTAGATAGATATCAGATGTCCCCTCTATATATTTGGGGTTAAATAACACATTTACTCAGTTATATTGGCATTGGCAGATGCGTGTGGTGTGGTTTTCCTCCTCTTCAGCCATAACTGCACTCAGGTAACTTCACTGAGTAAGGAAGGGGGGAAAGTTTGCAAGGAGCGTATATACCTTAAATCTGTACGTTGGTATGTATGTTGATGTGGTTAAAAGTAGCCCTTCATTGCCGCAGGATCTCACAGATCTTCTCTTGCTGCGCCAAGAAGTCCTGCTGAAAGAACTGAAGCAGGCCGAGCAAGTGTCTGTAGGAATCTTGAGGGAGATAGCGGACATCTTGACTGACAAAAAAAATTCCTTCACGTCTGGAGGTAAAAGTTAAATTGGTTCAAGTTTACGAAATACCGAGTGGATTACTACGAACTCATTAATACACCTAGGTAAATGAATATATTTTCTCCGAGCAGAAGTATCCTGTCCTGGTAACTTCAGGAAAATGCGGCGACACTTGTTTGTATCTTGCCTTAGACACCGGAGTGAGTTGGGAAGCCGCTCGAGTTTTTTGTCAAGGCCTGGGAGGAGATTTGGCCGTGTTTCGAGACGCCAATGAATTCGCAGAGGCTCTCAAATACGTCAAAAGTTCGGGTAAGTTTCTTTTACCTTGCTTTAAGTCAGTGTATTTTTTTATATACTTTTGTAGTACAATTTGCATAGATACCCAAAACAATTGCTCTCATTGCCGCTATGAAAATAAGATTGGGTAGAATGATAATTGTAGTGAATATTATGAGAATACTTACGTCCTACATATGATGTTATAAACATTCCAGTTTGATTTCCTATAGCGATATTAAACTCATGACTGATTCACTGTAGTCTGATGATTACAGTGTAACACAAACTATAGAATGGACTGTAAACAGCTTGTTAGAACCACAGTTGCAATAATAGCAATCAGTTGTAACAGACAGTCAGTGCGCTACCCCTGTAAATCATTTTGCAAAATATGTGAAATAAGCCGTTTTAAAAAACTATGAACGATTATCAGACAGCTACGCAAAGATCCAAATATAGTACCAATGATATGCCGTGTTTTCACTTGCAGTCGCTGTAAAGGGAACGCCTGTGTGGGTGGGCGGAACAGACCGCATAGAAGAGGGGGAATGGAGGTGGGTCTCTGGGGAAGACATGCCGAGAGGAACGCCCTTTTGGGGAGATTATAACTAGTAAGTCATTTTTATTTCATAGATAAGGTATCCTGAGAATGATCACTATGAATATACATATATATATTTATATGGATGTGCGCGTGTATGTTTATATATATTTATATATATACATATATCAGTACACTTATACATAATTATACATATATTGCTTTCCACAGCGTGCGCGAACCAGCTGAAGGCACATCGGGGAACTGCGCCGCCGTGTATGGCCCTGATGGTTTCTTGATACATGATGGTGTTTGTCAAAATCCATACAAGCCTCTCTGTGAGATTAAGTTGATAAATAATTAAATCAATACAATCTACATTTGTTAAACATTAGTTTACATTGTTATTTGCACTCATTAGTTTCAAAATGAAAAATGTAAATTCCTGTTGAGAAATGTATCCTGTCAAACACTGTTGCTAAACTCCTTCGTAACCGAAGAGATTGCCATAAAAAATATATATTTGCATAAAGATGTGCATATATGTATCTCTTTATTAAAAAAAAAAAAAAAAAAAAAAAAAAAATACACCTCATCCATGGGTTAACTAATGAATCTTCAAAAAAAAGCTTGTGGATCATCATAAATAGCTGAAGTCAGATATATCTATGCTTACTCTTTTGCGAATAAAACATGGCAAATATCACTGATAGCTGATTTTTTTTTTCCCATTTGATATGCGTTATGCGTTTTGTCGGTCTGTTTGTATATGCATGTATGTAAAGGATCTTTTGTTTAAAATGGTGTGCTTCGTCACTGAATTAATTACACTATCCAATTATGTTCTCACTTTCATTAAAAAAAATGTCATAACCCTTACCATATATATTTACAAATGTTAAAAGAAAAAAAGCTAGCATGTCAAACGACCCAGTTGTCGTGGCGCCTGGCGTCAGCAAATCCATATATATATCTAATGACTGGAAATAAAATGAAATAAACTAAACTAAACTAACTAAATAAATAGATAAGTAAAAAAATAAACATGTAGATATACATTCTTAATCTGAATATTTCACAATATTCTAAAAGTATTTTTTAATCTGGTTGATAATGTCTTCCTTACTTATGAACCCGATATCACAACAACACTATACAAATTAATTTGTACATGGTAAATACATATAATCCCTTTATAATGTATAGGCATATGTACGTATGTAAATACATATTGATATATGTATACATATATAGGTATGTATTTATATACTTCCATACACACATACACATATTCATATATATATATATCCATGCATATACATATCCATATAAGTACAGTGGTATATAAATCTATCTATATGTATATACTATAATATGAATATGTATAATCATAATATATACATATACTTACACCACAGACACACACATATATATACATACATAGACAGTATATATGTGTGCATAGATATATACATGTACACATACACACATATATGTATTTATGCACACACATACATATATACATATATATTTGTATACATAAAAATACTCACATACATATATATATATATGTGTGTGTGTGTGCGTGTGTATACATTTACTTGTGTGTATATACACATTATATATGTGTACATATATAACGTGCATAGAAATATATGTCTGTATATGTATATTTACATTTATATTCATGGATATACAAATGCTAACAGTGTGCAGAAAATCGGTCTTGCATTTTCTTGACGAGAAATGTATCGCAATAGAGCTCATATCACTAATTAACTGTCATCTGAAATTGAAAAAAGAACAAATACCAGCTTGTAAAAGCGACAGACATCCCTGTTATAGACAATGAGTGCATCGAGATTTCAATCCACGCAGATCCTTGCAAGAGAGCTTTGACAAAATCAAGCTCTTTGTTCCTCGAGAAGTGTGGTTTGCAATTTTAAGGATAAGTCAGATGTCGGAAGCTGAGTCTCACCCGAGCTAAACCTATGAAGGGAGCTCGGCCTCTGCCGACTAATGCCGACTCGATCAACGGTGTCAGCTGGTGCTGACTCGATATTCCTGATATTCCCTTTTTAAAAGACATTTGGCAGCATTTCACGAGACCATTAAGGATCCATTGTTATGGCTAATTCTGGTGCAACTCAAGAGACGATGTTGGGTAGGTCAGTTAAAATATTCTGTACAGTGTCCCCCAATATTGCATCATCCAGATACCATAGACTTGAGTCCACTACTTGCAACAAAGTCTTTCTAAAAAGAGGTGAGAGGCCTTTGAATAAGACTCTCATACGAATCGAAAAGGCATGAGATTTGCTCTTTTGCTGCTCTTAGGAAAACGTCTTTACCAATGCAGTTAAAAGCATTTTTCATATCAATTTAGTCAAGAGCACATTTTTTTTCAGGCAGCTGTTTACATATGGCTGGTGTTTCAGTTTTAATGCACTGATGACATCCTCGTCTCGGCAAGCGAGGAGTTTTACCGCATCTTTTATATCGTTGTTAAGTTTAGTGGCATCCCACCTTAGGATTTTGTCTGTGTGTTAGACTGTGAGTGTGGCCACTGTAGGTTTCGGGCTGTAGAGGCAAGAGAAATATGTTAAAATCCAAGTTATGCGTTACCTGTTGAACTTTTGTGGCAAGTGTAGGACGTAAGATCTTTTGTCGGTTGTATGAGGGAGCCATAAACAAAACCAAAGACGCAGGTACATGCTTATTCCGTGTTATTATTATTATTATTATATACATTTTTTTAATGACATAAAGTGCTTACACAGCTGCTACTGCCTTTGAGATGTAAGCTATCACACGAACACGATGTTTGCGTCCGCAAAATATTGTGGGCGGTGCATTACTTTGCACACTGTGAGTATGCTCCAGAGAGTCAAGGCGGGCAGGTGTATCTGATACAATGACTTTCTCTTTGTACTTGCTAACTAATGTAAATACCAGTGACATGATATTGGAAGTGAGAGAAAGCCATAAAAGTACAAAAGTATACAATTATAACAAAAGAAAAGCATGCTCTATTTCCTCATAAACAGTAAACAATAACGCAACTCAACTCGTATAGAACAAAAAGAGGGAACAAAAGCTCCCATCAGAAAGGAAGCATACTCATTGGAGGATTCATCTTTAAGCAAAGAAAATAGTCCCCTCAAAATATGGGGAGTGAACTTAGCTCAAAACACGAATGCCCGAAAACAACCATCATGGCGTCCCTCTGGTGCCTTCACCGGCTCCCCTCACACCAATCTCGGATTGTATCGGTTTATGGCGCAGTCTGCTTTCGGGCCTGCCCTCCATCGAAATTCAATGAAGAGATTATCACAATGTCGTTTTCATGACACGAGATTTGGGACAATTTCATCTGGAAAGGACGACGCCAGCAATTCACGTGCTCTCCATCGGAATCAGAGGAAGAGAGCGAAAGGCTTTATATATATGTATATAAACATATACATATATAAATGCATATATACACATATACACACACGCACACACACGTGTATATACACACACATACGTATATATACACACACTTCTATACATTTATACATACGTATATGTTTATGTGTGTTTGTGCGTGTTTTTGTGTTGCTCATATAAATAGGCAATTTTTCACCATACTTTCGCATAACCGATCGCGACGATTTTGGTATCGATGGATTCCTCTCTGTACTATCAAATATATCGAAATTCTGCCGCGGAAACCCTCCACAGCCCCACATTTCTTGGTCCAGATAGCAGGGAGGGCATGCAAGGTAGCTGGAAATTGCGGGGTTCACTAATAATATAATAACATAATGATAATACCTCACAGCACTTTATTACAGGTGGCTACGCCCCTTGCGCGTATTCACGGCAGGATAGAGCACACGGCCTACTGTATCCTATACATATTTTAAGCCACAATTTCCCTAGCACCTTTCATGCCCTTCCCTGCTATCGAGGCCAGGATTGTCTCTAATAAAGGGTTTCTGCGGCATTTTGATACATTTGGATAATTGTGAGATAAATCAATCGATAGCGGTCGATTATTCAAATGTATTCTGAAATATCCATATGGCTGTATGCATACACACATCTTTGTACATGCTGCATAAAGAAATACATATATGTATATGTTCAGTATATATGTACATAGGTATATATACATATGCATTATGTATACATAGGTATATATGCATGTATGTATTTACACAGAAACTTGTGTGCACATACAGTGTGTATGTGCGCATACATATACGTGGTAGTGTGTAGAATATCGGGCCCGTTCTCTTGCCAACAAGAGACTGGGGTATCGCATTACAGCATTTATGTCGTTGCTTAACTGTCTTATTCAAATAAAAAAAAAAAAAAAAAAAAAAAAGTTACCAACTCGTAAAAGTGAACATCACTATTATAAACAAGGAGCAACATCGAGGCGACTTCAGTCGACGCGGATCCTCGCAAGTGAACAGAGTGACACAGTTGAGCTCCTTCCACAAAGGTATAATTCCTTCTTTCTCGTCGTCCCTCGCTGTCTGATGTGAAATTCATCTCAGTGATTTAAGGATTCAAACTTGGTTTCATATCTTCGCATATAATTCTTACTGGGTAATTGTTATTCTCGAGTAGATAAGATATCAGATGTCCTCTTCAGGGTTTAATGACATATTAACTCATAGTCCCATTGGCGTCGGCAGATGCGTCTGGTCGTATCAGTCTTTTGGATGGTGATAGGGACGGCGTGGGCACTGGAGGAAACAGTGTGGACCACCTCTACGATGAACATTTTCCTCCTCTTCACCCCAACTGCACTCAGGTAACTTCACTGAATAGGGAAGGGGGGGGGGGAGTTTGCAAGGAGCACATTTACTGTAAATCTGTACGTGTGTATGTATGTATATTAATGTGGTTAACAGTATCCCTTCATTGCCGTAGAGTCTCACAGATCTTCTCTTGCTGCGCCAAGAAGTCCTGCTGAAAGAACTGAAGCAGGCCGAGCAAGTGTCTACAGGAGTCTTGAGGGAGATGCTACACATCTTGACCGACAAGACTTCCTTCATGTCTACAGGTAAAAGTTATATTGGTTTAAAGCTACGAAATGCCGAACGTATTAGTATGAAGTGATTAATATGTCTAAGTGAGGTCAAATGTTTACTCCGTGCAGAAGTATCCTGTCCTGGTAACTTCAGAAAATGCGGCGATACTTGTTTGTATCTTGCCAAGGACACCGACGTAACTTGGGATGCTGCTCGGGGTTTTTGTCAAGACTTGGGAGGAGATTTGGCCGTGTTCCGAGACGTCAGTGCATTCGCAGAGGCTCTCAAATACGTCAAAAGTTCGGGTAAGTTTTTTTTTTCTTTCCTTTTCTTTTTTTAACCAGGCTTCAAGTCAATGTATTCTTTTATGTAGTTTTGTAGTACAATGGAATGCAGAAATACCCAACTCAAAGCTGTCATTGCCACTGTAAAAATATGATTGGGTATTATGATAACTGGTGAATATTATA